CTCCACCTCCCACAATCCTCCTGCTCTTGAGGCCGGTTGGCTGGGTCACGTGGGCGGAGCCAAAAAAGTCCCCCAATGAGCAGCTCCGTGGTCTGAAAGGGCAGGGAAACAGCCCAATGAGCATCACCGCAGAGGAGCCAATCAGCTAGATGTTGCTGGGGCCGAGGAGCCAATCAGCTAGATGTTGCTGGGGCCGCTGTGAGCCAATCATCAGCCAGCAGCTGGAAGTTTGCTGGCAGCTGGAAGTTTGCTGGGGCCCCTTTGGCTGTGGCTCTCAACAAGTTTCTTTATCCACACATCTCCTGAAGGACATTTTGATTGCTTTCATGTTTTGGTAACTATAAATAAAGCCAGTATAAAGATCTCTGCAGGTTTGGATGTGGACATAATTTTTTAATTTGTTCTAATTAGTAATACATGACAGTAGAATGCATTTTGACACATTGTACACTGATAGAGCACAATTTATCCTTCCTCTGGCTGAACATGGTGCAGAGTCATCACTAGTGTAATCATACATGTATATATGTCTCATTCCACTATCTTTCCCATCCTAACACCCACTCCCCTCTTCTTACTCTCCTCTGCACAATTCAAAGTCCCTTCATTTTTCCCTACCTCCTACCCCCATTATGGATTAGCAGCCGCTTATCAGAAAAAACATTTGGTCATTGCTTTTTTTCAGTTTGGCTTATTTCACTTAACATGAAATACTACAGCTCCATCTATTTACCGTCAAATGCTATAATTTCATTCTTCTTTATGGCATAATTTCATATTATGTGTAATATTCAATTGTGTATATGTACCACATTTTCTTTATTCATTTATCTGTTAAATCGCGTAGTATGCTGGTTTAAAGTCCTTTGGGTATAGACGAGGAGTGGGGTAGCTGGGTTAAATGGTGGTTCCATTACAAGATTCCTGAGGAAACTCTATACTGCTTTTCAGAGTGGCTGTACCAATTTGCAGTCCCACCAGCAATGTATGAGTGTATCTTTTTTCCCACATCCTCACCAACACTTATTATTGCTTGTATTCTTGATAATTACCATTCTGACTAGAGTGAGATGAAATCTTAAGGTTTGATTTGCATTTCTCTAATTGCTAGAGATGATAAACAGTTTTTCATATGTTTGTTGACTAATTGTATTTCTTCTTCTGTGAAGTTTCTGTTCAGTTCCTTAGTCCATATGTTGATTGAGTTGTTTGTTTTTTTTTTTTTTTTTGGTGTTGTTTTTTTTAGTTCTTAATATATCCTGGAGATTAATGCTGTATCTGAGGTGCATGTGGTAAAGATTTTATCCCAAGATTTTTGGTTGAAAAAAAGCTTTTTAGTTTGAATCCATCCCATTTATTTTTTTTTAATTTTTTATTGTTGGTTGTTCAAAACATTACATAGTTCTTGATATATCATATTTCGCCCTTTGATTCAAGTGGGTTATGAGCTCCCATTTTTACCCCATATACAGATTGCAGAATCACATCAGTTACCCATCCATTGATTTACATATTGCCATACTAGTGTCTGTTGTGTTCTGCTGCCTTTCCTATCCTCTACTATCCCCCCTCCCCTCCCCTCCCCTCTTCTCTCTCTGCCCCCTCTACTGACATTCATTTGTCCCCCTTGTATTATTTTTCCCTTTCCCCTCACTTCCTCTTGTATGTACTTTTGTATAACCCTGAGGGTCTCCTTCCATTTCCATGCAATTTCCCTTCTCTCTCCCTTTCCCTCCCACCTCTCATCCCTGTTTAATGTTAATCTTCTTCTCATGCTCTTCAACCCTACTCTGTTCTTAGTTACTCTCCTTATATCAAAGAAGACATTTGGCATTTGTTTTTTAGGGATTGGCTAGCTTCATTTAGCATAATCTGCTCTAATGCCATCCATTTCCCTGCAAATTCTATGATTTTGTCATTTTTTAATGCAGAGTAATACTCCATTGTGTATAAATGCCACATTTTTTTTTTATCCATTCGTCTGTTGAAGGGCATCTAGGTTGGTTCCACAGTCTTGCTATTGTGAATTGTGCTGCTATGAACATCGATGTAGCAGTGTCCCTGTAGCATGCTCTTTTTAGGTCTTTAGGGAATAGACCGAGAAGGGGAATAGCTGGGTCAAATGGTGGCTCCATTCCCAGCTTTCCAAGAAATCTCCATACTGCTTTCCAAATTGGCTGCACCAATTTGCAGTCCCACCAGCAATGTACAAGTGTACCCTTTTCCCCACATCCTCGCCAGCACTTGTTGTTGTTTGACTTCATAATGGCTGCCAATCTAACTGGAGTGAGATGGTATCTTAGGGTGGTTTTGATTTGCATTTCTCTGACTGCTAGAGATGGTGAGCATTTTTTCATGTACTTGTTGATTGATTGTATGTCCTCCTCTGAGAAGTGTCTGTTCAGGTCCTTGGCCCATTTGTTGATTGGGTTGTTTGTTCTCTTATTGTCTAATTTTTTGAGTTCTTTGTATACTCTGGATATTAGGGCTCTATCTGAAGTGTGAGGAGTAAAGATTTGTTCCCAGGATGTAGGCTCTCTATTTACCAACGGCATTTCTTGTAGAAATAGAGAAAGCAATCATGAAATTCATATGGAAAAATTAAAGACCCAGAATAGCAAAAACAATGCTAAGTAGGAAGTGTGAATCAGGTGGTATAGCGATACCAGACTTCAAACTATACTACAGAGCAATAGTAACAAAAACAGCAGGGTACTGGTACCAAAACAGGTGGGTGGACCAATGGTACAGAATAGAGGACACAGAAACCAATCCACAAAACTACAACTATCTTATATTTGATAAAGGGGTTAAAAGCATGCAATGGAGGAAGGATAGCATCTTCAACAAATGGTGCTGGGAAAACTGGAAATCCATATGCAACAAAATGAATCCATCCCATTTATTGATTCTTGATTTTACTTCTTGCACTTTAGAAGTCACAAATTTTTAATTCATTTCAGTAAATACTAGTAAGTACTATTGCTGAATCATATGGTAAGGATGTAAGTATTTTATAAGAAATGTTTAAATTGTCTTCCACAGTGACTACGTAATTTTGCATTCCCACCAGCAAGGGAGATTTTCTTTGCTTTACATGTTTACTTTCATTTGTTATTATCAGTGTTTCAAAATTTGGTCTTTCTAAAACGTATATTAGTATATTATGGTTATTTTAATTTGCACTTCAAAATTAGTATGATGTATATATTTTCCTACTTTTTTAAAACCATCTCTATGCTTTCTTTAATGAGTATATCTGGTCAGTCTCTTGCCCATTTTTTAATTAATCTGTGCATTTTCTTATTGTTGACTTTTCATTGTTCTTTGTATATACTGAATAACAGTCTTTTATCAACCCTATATTTTTCAAGTATCTTCTCCTACTCTGTAGCTTGTTCTCCCACTTTCTTGACATAGTCTTTTGATAGAGTAGAAGTCTTTAATAACATGTTTATCTTATTGATTTTTTTCATTAATCAAATGTTTGATGTTTGATCTAAAAAGTCATCCCATATCCAAGGTTATCTAGGTTTTTCTGCTATGTTATCTTATAGGAATTTTATACTTTCACATTTTATGTTTAGTTCTATTATCAATTTTGAGTTAATGTTTGGTGAAGAATTTAAGGTCTGTCTAGATTCATGTTTTTTAAGTGTGGGTGTCCAACTAGTCTAGAACCATTTGTTAAAAATACAATCTTTGCTTCATTGTACTGCCTTTTCTCTTTTGTCAAAGATCAGATCATTCTATTTCTCTATTTTCTGGCCTATACATTCTATTCTGTTGCTATATTTGTCTCATTTTTTACCTATTACCTTACTATCTTGGTTATTGTAATTGTCCAATTCAGTCTTGGAGTTGGACAGTGTCAGTCCCTTAACTTTTTCTTCTTTAATATTGTGTTAGCTATTCTAATTTTTTGCATCTATACATAAACTTTAGAATAGATTTATTAATGTATACAAAAAAACTTGCTGGGATTTGATTTTGGATTAAGTTGAATCCTTAGATCAATAGAGGAAGAACTGACATCTTGTCAATACTAAGTTTTCTTACCTGTGAATATGGGTTATCTCTCTCCTTTTATGTATTTTTCTTTGAAATCTTTCATCAGGGTTTTGTAGATTTCCTCAAAGGACCAATTAATTCTTAAAATTGGAGTCTTGTTCATTGAGTCCACTTGTCCCTAGTGACCATTAACATCATTGTGTAAAGATTACTACACTATTTTGTGTAAGATTTGGGCAATTATTTCTTAAAGACTAGGATTAATGGAAAACTCTTGCTTTCTGACTTTTTTTAAATTGTTACCTACTTTCTTAATATTTTATTTTTTAGTTATAGTTGGACACAAGACCTTTATTTCACTTGTTCATTTTTTTAATGTGGTGCTGAGGATCGAACCCAGGGTCTAACATGTGCCAGGCAAGCGCTCTACTGCTGAGCCACAACTCCCACCCTTGTTACAGACTTTTGATCACATTTTGATAATTGTTATAATTATAATCCTTATCAAGATTTGGGGAAAATGTAATTTTAGGTGTTCCAGATCATGAAAGTTATCTCCTAACTCTTTTGTATTAGCCCTTTTGTCACTACATTTTACTAAGACAATGAAAATTCATCTCTATTTCTGAAGAAAATGGTAACTTTCAGCAGTATTATTTTAATTATCTGCTAAGTAAGAGTTTATCTCATATTATCATTCTTTTCATAATGCAGCCTTTTATACTTCCAATTCCAGCATAAGTTTCTACTTTTGATTTTCCTATGTGCATTTTGAAGAAAATGATAAAATGCACATCAGGAGCTCTAAAACTTACTTTGTGCATGTCAGGATACTGTAAATTTTAAACAAACTGTACATTTTTCTCTGCAAAATCAACTGCATTTTCTGAGAAATACATTGTGTGCTTATTTATGTCTTAGACATATGGTAATTTTTAAGTATGTACTCTTCATATCAAGATTAACATTTTGTTTTCTATTTCTAATAGGCATTCTCTACTTGAAGTGTTACCTTCTCTAAAAATCCTTAATGGTGATAAGGTAAACTCTCATTCAGAAATCCACACTCAAGAACACTCTCATCTAGAATCAAGACGTTTGCTTGCATTTTGTCAGTCCCAAATTCGGGAATTTAACTTACTAAATGAAAAGTATATCAATGGAAATAGGTAAGATTCTTATCTCCTCCTGGTAGTATTTAAAATAAAGTAAAATATACACATAATTTTTAAATATGCTGATTGTCACAATCATGCTGTTTTTGCTTTAAGTCAGTGTGTTTCAGGGGATATTCTACCTTTAGAAAAACTTCTAGACATCATGGTTTTATTCTTAGAAATACATCAATATATATTTTGAGTGTAATTTGATATATTTCAATGCTAAAATATTAGATAAAACAGATAGAAACTTGAAAAAAGTTTTAAGACACTGCAAACATTCATTCTATTAGTTATCAATAATCAGTTGTAAATTTATTTAACAATTATTATGGGCAAGACTATCCTCAAAGAATTCACAGATTAACATAAAAGAAAATTAGGTAAATAAAATGTTACAATTGAGTAAAACAAGTTTTGTAACATAATATATATTAAATTTTAAGGTACATATAATAAATATATGTGTATATTAAGGTATTACAGGACCAAATTTTAAGATACATGTACTAAATATATGTATATATTAAGGTATTACAGCACCACACTGGAAAAATGCAGTCAACTCTTACATGTATTCAGAGCACAGAAGCTGAATCGTAATCAGATACTGAAGAAAGAGAACTTTCTTTTCCCCACCCCACCTTGAATCCTGGTGGAATTACAATGAATGAATTATAAGCTGGGTGTAGTAGTGTACACCTATACAGCTCAGGAGACTGCTTGAAGCAAGAGTATTGCAAGTTCAAGCCAGCCTTGACAACTTAGTGGGACCCTAAGCAACTGGAGAGACCCTGTCTCTAAAATTAAAAATACAAAAAAGGGACGGGGATGTGGCTTAGTGGTTGAGTATCCCTGGGTTCAATCCATGGTAATAAATAAATAAATAAATAGAATTATAATTGATCTTTTTAAAACTGGATTTTAAAATTTGCATTTCTTCATAAAATACAAATAAGCTACAAGAAATGTTTTCACATTTTTTCACTTATGATGAGTCTCCCTTATAACAGGAAAAATAATATGTCCTGTATCAGTGAATTCAGCACCTTACCATAAACATTTGATATCACTGTGTACCTTTTCTGAATTTTTAGTAAATAAAATGAGTAAAATACAAAATATGAAAAATATATTGAGGGAATCTTTGCTAATGCCTAGTAATTAACTTTACGAACACAGAAACTATCTAATTATATTTACATTGTTAGGATATAATTATAGCTTCCATTTTGTTTGTTGTGATGAAATATTTTTATGTAGTGCATTATTTCAGAAGAAAAATAAACAAACTTGTGACTATATATTAAATATATCCATAAAATATATGTTTGAAATAAGTAAAACATTTTCAAAATATGATAGGTTTAAAGGAAGATAAATAAAATGTCTCTAAGAATAATGCTCATATATCCTTTACATTTGTTATTGACAAACACATGAAAGTTTGAGTAATTACATAAATCACAATATACAAAAGAGAAATCCACAATTTTTTAAGAGAATCTCACCTATTTATGTCTTAAAATATTTGAAATCTCTTTGCAATGGATTGTTTTTCCAAAGAAAAATAGAAATATAAACTTTCCCATAACATAAATTCTTTGTTTAAAAGTCCAATACAAATATTTTGTGTGGCAAGAGTCAATGTAGAAAGTACTTTTTAAATTTATTTCATAAATAACTTCTCCAAATTTAGGCAGCCATGATTTCTCATGTTTATGGTAATAAAAGCATGAATTTTTCTCATTCAGTTGTACCAAAAATATCTTGAATAAAAATGGTCCTAAATCTTCCAGACATTTTGTCTGGACTGACAGTTCTAAATTAAATTTAAAAAATTTTAAGATTTTGTTTATAATGAGGTGAATTTTATAAATAACTAGAAGTAATTTACAGTGAATGTTTTAATTAATTTTAGTGTTCATTTTAGGCCATAAACAAAATTTATTTGCAAAATCTATTGAAGTTTTATACTTACTGAATATTATTTAATACTAAATGGTCTCATCATTTATTTGTTCAGGGATGTGTTCACCTTGGATATTGCAGAAAATTTCTGTTATTATTTTAAGAAGTTGATGACACTTAGTAATGAATGCAGATATGCACATGAACATGGGGATATAAGTATCACTAAGAGAGATGAATCAGAAACCCAGAAAAATCATTTGGCCCTTCCAAGCAGTGACTTCATACTGCAAGATGAAGTCTTCCACTCTAGCACCAACAAACATAGAACAGACTCATCAGGAATTTCTGAGCAGTGGATGGACCCTTCCTTTAATAATTCCCCAATAAGCTACTCCTCTGCATATGAAGTTGTGGAAGGAAGAAGTCAGGAAAAATTAGTAGGCCTGAAGAAAGAAGATGGTAAGACAAAAAGCATCCCCACCAAAGGAAGTTCATTCATGGAAACAGAAACGACAAATTCTCTGCTGAGGAATCACCAGCATATGGAACAGAATGAAAAAATGTAAGATTTGTAAGTCATATTCTTTGCAGATGTTATGTTTACTATTTTTGATGGATGATATTAAGTCAATGGTGCTAAATAATAAGTTGGTCAAGGTTTAAATCACTATAATATTTTATATCAATTCCCTTAACTATGTTTTTATGATGTGTACAAATTAATCACCATGCAGATTAATTTGATTAAATTTTGTCTAGTTTTGATTTGATTTCTAGTATTACTTCACTAAAATTGAGTAAATGTGAAATTTTTCTTGCCTTGTAATTTCTAAATAACTGAGATAATTTGAAAGAGAAATAAAATATTACATTCTAAAATAATTAAATGATACTTTCTGAATAATCAAGTAATTTATTTAAAAACTATACCTTTGTATTTGCTAAGTATTTTCCCACTGTAGTAAAACATTTAATAAGCATGTGTGCAGATATTTGTATACTGTAATTTTCTTGGCATAACAGTTTTGTAAGGTACAGAACTAATCTTCATGATTAATCACATAAAATTCCTTGCAATTATTAAACACTTTTATATTTGAAGGCTAATGGCTGGCTTTTATTGCTTATTGAACCAGCAAAGGTTGATTTTCACTTTGGCCTATCAACTTCTTGATCTCTTTTTTGTTTTTTTGTTTTCCTTCGTGTCTAGCCAATGAGAGGGAAAAAATGTCAGACTCAGCTTTTCTGACAGTGATTGGTGCTGAGCTGAACAGGGAAGGAGTCAGAATATCACAGTAGCTATTTTTGCTTTCCCCAGTCTTCCTACTTTGAGAAGTTATCAGTGTATGCAGTGATTGCCTTTCTGGGAGTTTTAAATAGTTTAATATTCTAAAACTGATGTTTATTTCCTATTATAGAAATAATATTTTATTTAAAAATGGCTTTACTGTTTCCTGATTTATACTTTACTGATTTATTTAATTGATTGCTTTTGCTTCAAACACTGCAGACATTGCCTATTGAAATTTTATATAAAAATACTTGGAACTTCTGAATGATAAATAAAGTAGCTAAAGGATAATAGTATGTAGGGATGAATAAGTGAAAACAGAGATAAATCAGACTTCAAGAATAAAGGAAAAGAAAATGTATACTCACCTACTAAAATTTGCCATTTAGTAATTCAGAAAGATGTACTGTAGGCTATGTCAAAGTTTCCTAAGCCTGATTTATGAATACTCTTATGCTAAGGATATTTCTTACTTTATGATATTTGCTAAGAAAAGATGATGATTATGATGATGATAGTAATCCAATAATAAATCAAACTAGCATTAGCAAATAATTGTATCATTACTTTTCTAAAGTCCCACAAATAAACTGTAGTCATGTATGATAGAAGAATTGCTTAAGTAGACTTTGTCTTAAACCAGATTGTATGAGGGAAGGACAAAATTTCATTGGGTTTGATAAATTACAAAACTATTGAAAACTGTTTCAAGAGAGCATTGGAAAATAGAATCCTTTCTCCACCTTACATCTTTAATCCAAATTCGGGAATTTGAAAAGAGAGTAAGACAGAATTGTTAACACTTTGACTATATTCTATGCCTCATTAATATTCCTGCAGTAATCTTTGTGGGAAAGGGAAAAATTCCAGTTAGAAAGAGTTAAGTGATAAACACAGCATGTACTCATTTATTATCAGTGTACATATTCATCACACTTTTCTATTATTGCTGCATAGACTAGGGGGATATGAAAACCACAGCACTGACTAATTTTGTGCCTGAAATTGGCAAGTAGGCATGGGCTAGGAGAACATTAGACTTCACTTTTGGGCTTTAAGAGGGTATTTTAACTATTTATTTATCTCTTCTCATTGTCACCCTCCACCCAGATCAAAATCCTCAGTATCATACAAAATCTCTATTATATTTCTCTTAAAGAAATAAACAAAACCCCCTTTTACCTATATCCCTCACATTAATATTGGCTTATTTGCTCTTTTAAATTAGAAAGTTTACATATTTTTTTTCTTCTATAACTAGAGTTAGACAAAAGAAGGATTTTTGTTTTAAGGAGCACTATATGCAGTTCATGTTTAAAATATAGGTTATGAATACCTCTTATGTACAAGTGTATATTCATGCAGATTAAAACTTTTCTTTCTCCTCTTTGTAGCAGGGCAGCGGTAGTAATCCAGGCACACTGGCGTGGTTACCTTGTGCGCAGACAGATCAGTTTCTCTACGCGGAGGCATACTGCTGCAGTAGAACCCCTGCCAAATTCCTTCATCAATATTCTGACTATTTTGAAGAAAGAAAAAAGAAAAAATACTATGAATATCCAAGAACAGAGGGAGAGGGCTGCTGTTCTTATTCAGGTTAATTTTAATCTTTTGATAACATGGTTAGTCATAAAAGATTTATTGGTCATCTTTCACTAGATTATTCTGTTTAAAAACAAGCCCCAAATCTAAGTGATTTACAGTTACATGACATGTGACATACAGGCTGTCGGTTAGTTGTAGATTGGCTGTGGTTCTGCCTAGTATCTAGATTGAAGGAATAGTCTTTAAAACTAAAATAGCATTTTTATGGCTGTGTCAAGGTGAACCACACAGTCATATTTAAAATATCTCCTCAAATGTGTCATTTATCAAATTGTTAAGATTTGGTTAGCCCAAGCAGGTCTCATTTGACCCAATTTGTAGTTATTTCTAGAAGTCTATCAAAATAATTGTTAAAGTTCTTCAAATACCCATTTTATTTAAAAATTTAGAAAGAGACATAGATTTAGTCAATGTCACCAAGACCAGATGTCGAACTGAATTTTAACTAGATTATATTCTTTTTAATTTATTCATTCTTTTTTTTCAATTTGATGGGTAATTTTCTAGCCATAGAATATAAAATCACAAACAAATTTTTGCTAAAAAGGCATTTACATTCTGATGGAAGAGGCAAACATAAACTAAATAAATATATAAAATAAGATCTGGAGGGGGATCCAACATGGCGGCGAGAGGGGAGGCAGCGCTTTCAGTACCTCCTCAACAAAGGGGTCAGAGAGACGCATGGATACGCTTAGATATGGCCTGCTGAGAAACTCCTAGCAAAATTCCACTAAAGAGAGACCGGCCGGGAATTGGAAGGATTTTTGGAGGTGACAGTCTGCGCTAGACGAGTGAATCTCCGCCACGCAGCGCAGAGGTCCAGACCCGCCAGCCGCTGCCCGCGCGACTCGGCGACTGTCGGCTGCCTGCACGCGGCCCGCGTCAGGGCGGATAGCCTCCGAGGCGCAGCGCAGCAGGAGCGGTGTAGGGACTCTAGGAAGAGGTCTCTCGCCAAGCCTTCATGAAATAGCAAACCGGGAGCTGAAACCAACCAAAGACAGACCAGTCCCACCCCTCCCTTCGGACACTCTGGCAAGGAGCCTGGGGCCTGCCATAGCAGAGTGGTGACATCACCGGAGTTCCGCCAACAGAATTCCTTCCCAGTGGAATCCACATTAGCAGGTGTGTGACTCCCACCCCCTCCAGATACAAGCAGCCAGGAAACCACCGGGGGCGTGTCTGTAGGGAAGCAGAGGGGATTCCAGATCCCCACCTCCCCTTAACGCCAGCGGCGACACCCAAGATCTTAGCCGCCAGTTTCTGGGGGCGTGCCCACCAAAGGGGTCCTGAAAAATTAAACTGTTGGTTCCCAGATCACCCCACCACAGCACTGGGGCTTAATTGAATGACAGAGAGGGTGTTCATCATTCGGGATATAGGACACGCGGTGGGGCTGTAAGTGTAATCAGATCCTTGGGGAACCGCCTCTGGTGAACAGGACCTGGCTGGCTGGCTGGGAGGAGGAACAGGGGGAGGGGCCGGATAAGTGAAAGGGCTCTGGACTAACAGGATTGAGAGACTCCCAGGAGCCACCATACAGGGATTTCTGTCAGCACATAGAGGGCAGAAGCTCAGCTCAGAGGGCACAGCTCCGCCTATTGGAAGAGAAGAAAATGGGATTCAGCCATAGAACAGGGGATGCCAGCATGGCAGAGATCTGATGTCATCGGAGAGCGGCCGAGGAGAAAACTTCATCGGTGCCAGCGGCGACGGAAACAGTTGGTCCCCTGGTAGGGAGGGTGAGTCACAGATACCCGAGTCTCTCTCGCTTTGTCGTCGAGCCAGAGGCGAGGAGAGGGGCCGCCGCCCACGCCCGCAAGGTAGGAAGACCTGCGACCAACCTGCAGATCAGGCCCAGCGGTCTGCAGGCGTGGTAAGAGGGGCAGGGCAGAGCCACCGCCCGCGCTGGCAAGGTAAGCAGACCTGAGACAGACCTGTGGATCAGGCCCAGTGGCCTGCCAGCGTGGTACACACTTCACCCCAACTGGAGTAGGGGCAGAGCAGAGCCTTAGCCCGCGCCCAGATCAGGCCCAGCGGCTCGCCTGTGTGGTGGTCAAGTGACCCCAATTGGAGTGGGGGCGGAGCGGAACTGACACCCTTGCCCACAAGGTGGGCAGAACTGCGACCAACCTGCAGATCAGGCCTAGCGGTCCCCGGGCGTGGTAGGAGGGGCAGGGCAGAGCCTTCGCCCCCACCTGCAAGGTAGGCAGACCTGCGACAGAACAGTGGATCAGGCCCAGGGGTCCGCGGGCGTGGTAGACACCTCACACCAATTGGAGGAGGGGCAGAGCAGAGCCCCTGCCCACACCTGCAAGGGAGAATTTTCAACTATTCAAGAGCAACATAAATATATAGGGGGGGGAAAAATTTCAAAAACACAATAGTTTCACCAAGAAGAAAGAAACGCAAGCAGTATGAAAAGACAAGGAAAGAAAGGACTACAAGCAATGCAGGTCAGCTCAACTTTAGAAGAGGTAACAGCTGCAGCAGATGGAATGTCAGATAAAGAATTCAGGATATATATGCTTCAGATGATCTGGAGTATCAAGGAAGAAATTAGACAGCAAAATCAGACAATGAAAGATCACTTCGACAAGGAATTACACAAACAAATCCAGGAAGCAAAGGATCAACTATACAGGGAGATAGAGGTTATAAAAAACAAACAAACAGAAATCCTAGAAATGCAGGAAGCAATAAACCAACTTAAAAACTCAATTGAGAGTACTACCAGCAGAGTAGAACACTTAGAAGATAGAACATCAGACAATGAAGACAAAGTATTTCAACTTGAAAAGAACATAGACAGCTCAGCAAGACTGTTAAGAAACCATGAGCAGAACATCCAAGAAATATGGGATAACATTAAGAGACCAAACTTAAGAGTCATTGGGATACAGGAAGGTATAGAACTCCATACCAAAGGAATGAGCAATTTATTTAATGAAATAATATGAGAAAACTTCCCAGACTTGAAGAATGAGACAGAATCCCAAATTCTAGAAGCCTACAGGACGCCGAATGTGCAAAATTATAAGAGATCCACACCTAGACACATTATAATGAAGATGCCCAACATACAGAATAAGGAGAGAATTTTAAAAGCTACAAGAGAAAGGAAGCAGATTACATTTAGGGGCAAGCCAATCAGGATAACAGCTGATCTTTCAACACAGACTCTGAAAGCTAGAAGATCCTGGAATAACATATTTCAAACACTGAAAGAAAATGGGTTCCAACCAAGAATTGTGTATCCAGCGAAATTAAGCTTCAGGATGGAAGATGAAATTAAAACCTTCCACGACAAACAAAAGTTAAAAGAATATGCAGCTAGAAAACCATCTCTTCAAAACATCCTCAGCAAAACATTACAGGAAGAGGAAATGGAAAATAACAATGAAAACCAACAGTGGGAGGTAGGACAGTAAAGGGGGGGGAATAATCAAAGAGGAAAACAAACCATGTTTAGTAACATAAATAAACAAATATGGCTGGAACAACAACCCATATCTCAATAATAACCCTAAATGTTAATGGCTTAAACTCACCAATTAAGAGACACAGGCTAGTAGAATGGATCTCAAAACAAGACCCAACAATATGCTGCCTACAGGAGACGCATTTGATAGGAAAAGACATACATAGGCTGAAGGTGAAAGGTTGGGAAAAATCATATCACTCATATGGACTTCGGAAAAAAGCAGGAGTGTCCATACTCATATCAAATAAAATAGATTTCAAGCCAAAGTTAATCAAAAGGGATAAAGAGGGACACTACATACTGCTTAAGGGAACCATACACCAACAAGACATAACAATCATAAATATATATGCCCCAAACAATGGCGCAGCTATGTTCATCAAACAAACTCTTCTCAAGTTCAAGAGTCTAATAGACCACCATACAATAATCATGGGAGACTTCAACACACCTCTCTCGCCACTGGACAGATCTTCCAAACAAAAGTTGAATAAGGAAACTATAGAACTCAATAACACTATTAATAACCTAGACTTAATTGACATATATAGAATATACCACCCAACATCAAGCAGTTACACTTTTTTCTCAGCAGCACATGGATCCTTCTCAAAAATAGATCATATATTATGTCACAGGGCAACGCTTAGACAATATAAAGGAGTAGAGATAATACCATGCATCTTATCTGACCATAATGGAATGAAACTGAAAATCAACGATAAAAGAAGGAAGGAAAAAGCATACATCACTTGGAGAATGAACAATAGGTTACTGAATGATCAATGGGTTCTAGAAGACATCAAGGAGGAAATTAAAAAATTCTTAGAGATTAATGAAAACACAGACACAACATATCGGAATCTGTGGGACACATTGAAAGCAGTTCTAAGAGGAAAATTCATTGCTTGGAGTTCATTCCTTAAAAAAAGAAAAAACCAACAAATAAATGATCTCATGCTTCATCTCAAAATTCTTGAAAAAGAAGAGCAAAACAACAGCAAAAGGAGTAGAAGGCAAGAAATAATTAAAATCAGAGCTGAAATTAATGAAATCGAAACAAAAGAAACAATTGAAAAAATTGACAAAACTAAAAGTTGGTTCTTTGAAAAAATAAACAAAATCGACAGACCCTTAGCGATGCTAGCGAAGAGAAGAAGAGAGAGAACTCAAATTACTAGCATACGGGATGAAAAAGGCAATATCACAACAGACACTTCAGAAATACAGAAGATAATCAAAAATTATTTTGAATCCTTATACTCCAATAAATTAGAAGATAGTGAAGGCATCGATAAATTTCTGAAGTCATATGATCTGCCCAGATTGAGTCAGGAGGATATAGACAACCTAAACAGACCAATATCAATTGAGGAAATAGAAGAAACCATCAAAAGACTACCAACGAAGAAAAGCCCAGGACCGGATGGGTATACAGCAGAATTTTACAAAACCTTTAAAGAGGAACTAATACCAATACTTTTCAAGCTACTTCAGGAAATAGAAA